TTAATACTTCAATCAAATTGTGTATGTATGGATATATGTATAGATTCTTTACAGTTCAGAAGTAATAACTTTATGTTGCACGTATGAATATACATCACTTTGATTGTACATATAAAGGTTATTTTTTTCTAAACTAAAATAATAGAATACTCTGGAATATGATATTCCAAAACCCTATTAAGGTTTATGCTCGACTCCTCTTCTTATTTCTTTAGTTATCTCTGGTTTTTTCTTTATTTTGCTATCTCTATTGTTGTTTCATGATAAACTTTCACAAGGATTTTACCTTGGAAAACTTTATTGAGGTAGATCTGTGAGGTTCAAAGTTAATACAGTCAAACATGTACACTCCCACTATAACTTACCTGACCATATTGTTAACACTTGTTATAAATTACATGGACGCCTGAAGAGGCATAAGTTGTGTAAAAAGGGTAAGATGTCTATTGCCGACCAAGTTTCTATATCCCCTACTTAGGAGTAGAGGAATACAAAAAAAATTATCCATCAAGCATGACCAATATGAGTACTTAATAATAAAACCATCCATCAGTGAGCATGATAAAATCATTTACCACTCTTAGAAATATAATGTCTTTGGTTTCTTTAGTATGTATCTCTCTCTACTCATTTAATGAGATTCAAAATTAACATCAATGTACCTTGGATCATAGACACTAGTGTGTCAGATCATATTATATAAATACCTACTCAACATTCGAGTACTATAAAGAACTTATCCTCTAGAGTTCCCTTGTCTAATAGTGATAAAGTAGATGTGTACCGTGTTGGAACATTGAAGATTCTGGATTAATTAACTATAATATTTTATATGGAAAGAGACTAAGATTTAAAGTGTTGCTTATATTCTCACAAGAGTTTTGTCTAATTACATGATTTTTTGACTTGGCGAATAGTTGAAGTGAATGAGATAGGATAATGTATACCATCTGCAACAACAAAGGGTATCAATTTTTTGGAGTAGCTAGGAGTTGTCTACAAAAAAATTCTTTTCATAACAATCAACATGAAGTCTCTGATATATGATATTACCGTCTAGGTCATTCCTCACCACCTGTATCTAAATTTGTGACAAATGTTCTGATGAAACAAAATTGTAAACCTTACTTTATTTATTTGCTTGCTAAATTACACAAAATTTCATTCCCAGTTGGCAAACATAGAAGTAAACACTATTTTGACTTAATACATTATGATATTTGGGGCTCTTGCAGTGAGATTTTCTATGATGGACACTGTTATTCTTTTAAAATTATGGATGACTTTAATAGATACTGTAATGGCCCTGGAAATATCCTAAGGAAATAAAAGATAATTAAAATGCGGAAGCGTAATAAAAGTTCAAGTTTTACATTCCTTATACAAATAAAAAATATCAAATAGTGTTACGGAATTCATCCATTTAAAAGTAATACAAGAAATAAGGAAATGAACGGAAAATAAAGAAATCTAGCATCTACTCGTAATCCTCTTACGGACCGGGCTCTAGAACCTGGTTCTCTTGATCTGAAATGGTTAAATAAGGGATGAGCTATACTAGCGCAGTAAGAATATCACATTATATTACCGACACAGAAGTAAAGGTAGGTATAAAATCAAAACAACTTATAGAGCACTTAATTTAAGCAAATTCATTTATCAATAATAAAATTATTACCGTAGCGGGATTCATAAAAATAATCTATACGGACAAAAATATTATACAGATCATAATTTCATGTATACTCAACAATCATAACACACATTATAAATATGTCCATCATCAATAAATCCACAATAAGTATCGCTCTTTTTACCAGTCTGCTGGTATCCATTAGGATTCATAAGGATGTCTCCGCTATGCGTGAACTCTTTCATTCAACATTCTCAATTACGGGCCGTCCCTATACCCTGTTCGGTATGAGCATCAATTTACCAAACTTTGATACCCCATCCTGTATGAAGGTGAAGTGGGCCGTCCCCATATCCCGTCCGGTATGAACGTCAAATTATCAAGTCTCCATACCCCGTCCGGTATGAGACAATATTTACGGTAGGGTTCTCTATGTACCCGGTCCGTCCACCATCTTCCAAGACATCCAGTAAGACTGTCGTTTCATCTATTCATTTCATCACACAATTTTTACTGTTTAACCTTCATTTTTTTATGAGTCAACAATAAATACATATAATAAACGATACATGCATTTAAAGACATAAAATCAATTAATAAGGTACTATCATGCATTTAATCTGTAAAATAATCAACAAAATAATAGTAGAAAATTTTCGGTTCCAACTCCATTAGCAATCTCTGATTAATTATGCACATTTTCTAAATTCACATAAAATATCGTATTATTATTTATTTAGACTTCAATCCTATGATAGAGAAAAGGGTGAGGGATCTTTACTCGATTTTGTAACAGCCCCGGTAATTCAAAATGGAAATTATATTATAAATATTAAATGCGGAAGCGAGATCAAAATTTCGGTTAACATCCCTTACACGGAAACCAAAAACGTACTTAAAATATAAAAGATTAAACTAACTAAGAGAGAAACTCGAAAATAAAACTATGAGTATGACTACAGAGTCTCTAGGCATCCCCTTCGTCGTCCTCCTGCGGAACGGGCTCGGGAACCATGTCTTCCTGATCTGAAATTGTTAAATAAGGAGTGAGCTACACTAGCCCAGTAAGAACATCACGATATCTCACCGTCACAGAGGTAAAGGTGGGTAGAAAAACACAAAAGACCAATGGAGCATGATTTGCAACAAATCCTTTTATTTATGATAAAACCTTTACCATCTACTTACCTCGGTGGAATTCATGAAACAATATAAGAAAACAATAACATTATCACAATCATGGAATAATATAAGCTGTAAAACATAGCACTTATCACGCCTTTTGTAATTCAATCATTATACAACATATCATTTTCTCATTTACCAGCCTACTAGTATCCATGGGGGTCCATAGGGGTCCCGCTACCCGTTAACCTTTAACATTCATAATCAGTTTCCAGGGCCGTCCCCATACCCCGTCCGGTATGGGCGCCAAAATCATAAACCTCAATACCCCGTCCGGTATGAGGGTGAAACGGGCCGTCCCCATACCCCGTCCGGTATGGGCGCCAAAACCATAAACCTCAATACCCCGTCCGGTATAAGGGTGAAACGAGCCGTCCCCATACCCCGTCCGGTATGGGCGCAAAAACCATAAACCTCAATACCCCGTCCGGTATGAGGGTGAAACGGGCCGTCCCCATACCCCGTCCGGTATGGGCGCCAAAATCATAAGATCTCCACACCCCGTCCGACATGTGAGGCCACAATCCCGGTAGGGTTCCCTACGGACCCGGTCCGTCCACCATCTCCCAGGATATCTAGTCAGGCTGACCCCCATAATACAATTATCAGTCTATACAATCTTTCATTTTCCTTTTCCTCAATCAACATCATCAATTCATATTTAAACAAGCAAATCGTAATTCATGCCAAACAGACAACATACAGTGTCAGTTCTTCAGTCTTTCAACCCATAATTAATAAAACAGTAATATATGCACTCGAAACTATAAAATGAACACATCAAACCCCATAATGCATTTAAAGCTGTAAAACAGGCCAAATAACAGTAAATCATCAATCACACTAGACTCGGGCTTCATTAGCAACCTTAAGCAGTTTCACACAATTCAAGAAATACCGTTTTATCATTTTGAACTTTAATACCGTGATAGGAAATAGGGTGAGGGGTCCTTACTTGTTTTCGAGATCCGAATACGATTCACAGTGCGCCTGCAGGCCTTCCCTAATTTTCCCTGAATTTTTCCCGGGGAACTGAAACACACTAACAGTACCTGCACGTGTTCCAAAAAAAATCCAAATTAGGCCCAGGGCCCCTTTCGGACCAAATCGCAACTCCGGCACGGCGGCTCCGCCGTGCTCCGGCGACGGCGCCGCCGCTGGCGGCGGCGAGTCTCCTCGGGTTGGCTGTTTTCGGCCGAATTCGGCCACACTCGCATTGGTCCTTGTCAGAAAACAGCCCTAGGGCCCTCGGGGGGCCAAAAAATCACGGAAAAACGGAGCTTACCAGCGGCGGCACTCTCGGGTGCGGCGGCTCTCCGGCGAGGTTCGTGTTTTGGTGATTCGGCTCCGGTCAACCTGTAGAGAAAAGAATGGTGATCACGGTGATATAAAAATTGCATCGAA